CGTATCGTCACCTGCTGCTAAGTCGTTGCATTTGGACCAACATGAGGCAGGCAGGCAGGCAGGCAGGCAGGCAGACAGGCAGACAGGAAGGAAAACTTGAATGCTGGTGCAGCCTCAACCACCTTCATATGTCGCACTGATGAGTGTGCTCGCTTTCAACAAATCTGACCACCACCACCACCACCACAACCACCACCACCACCACCACTACCGCGTGGCACTCACCACGAGGATGACCGATGCAAAGGTGGAAGTGAGTGTGTGTAGGCTGGATGATGTGGGACCCTCCAGTGAGGCATTGACGGAGTTCAAACGAGGTGAGATATGGCACACACAATCACACCGGTTAAGCAGCACTTGACCAGTTGATGTGAAACACATCCCCACCAACATATGCCCTACTGTTGTGTGTGTTGTGTGTGTGTGTGTGTGTGTGTGCATTTGCTGTTCTGCACAGTTCTGTGTTGTCAGTGTGTGATGTCGTGCCTGTGAGGCATTTGGACACTTGCATTCGATTTGCAGGTGATGGAGAGGCTTGGTGAAATTCATGGACAAGTACCGCACACACACGCACGCACATACACACCCCAGTCTGTTGGTCTATTCTTCGTAAGCAGACCACCGATACCTTGAGTTGCCTACGCACTACTCACTGGTTGAGCGGATGCACCGAGTGGAAGGCGTGAGACGTCTGATGTGCACTCCACGTGGACGAATGCTGAGAGTTATGGGTGGAGCGTTTGCGAGTACCCACACTTTACTTAGTGTGGTTAGGTAGAGGTAAACCACACGCATCTCCTCCATCATCAGTCAGTTAGCCACTGAGTAAGTCGGTCGGGCAGACAGTCGGTAGGTCAGTCATTCAGTCCATAAGTCAGTTGCAAAGCCAGTTGGTCAAGCAGTGAGGCAGGCAGGAAGGTAAGCAGGTAAGCAGTCAGTCAGTCAGTAAGTCAGTCAGGCAGGCAGGTAGTCAGCCTACCATCATTGACACGTGGCTAGGCGACAGATCAGAGTGGTGATGAATCATGTGAGTAGCAGGCCGATTGTCTGTGCTCACTGCATTGTTGTGTGTTTACGGCAATTTGGTTATCAACTCGAGAGAGGAATGCGCAAACACTGTCAGTAGTATCAGTGCCACTTCAGGAGAGAGAGAATTTGCCAGAGAGAGAAGGTGGTGGAGACAGTGTGTGAATGAGAATAGGGTGAGATGGTGTTGAGTTTGGTGGAGCAAGTGAACACTGGATATGGGTGGAGAGTTGAGTAGTGTGACAGCTCGAAAGCTCACTTATTTAACCGTCTTTTGATGTCCCGAGATGGTGTTTGGTACTTGGAGGGGTGTTGTCAGTGCAAACGCAGAATGGGTCTGTCCACCCTCCTTTCTCAGTGTCAGATTTTGCTGCAGTACGGAAGGTTTCTCCCTTTACTTTCTTCCATGAGTGCAAATATCTTTCTCTCTCTATTCTGAATGACTAGTCTAGCCATATTTAACAATAAGATTTCTTTTTTCTCACGCTGATACACCTGGTCTGCTTAATCTTCAGCCAGTAAATGGCTCAATCTCTTGCATACCACAAACACACTCACACAAAGAGTAATCCTGTGAGGCTTAATTAGTAAAATCCTTAGAAGTGCGGTTTGGTGTGATAGTGGATCGTTGAAAGTCTAGATGCCTTCGCATAATGCATCAGGAGACAAATGCATTTTTCCTAGCGTGTTTCGAAAGCTGAGGTGAAGGCGTTGTGACTGACTTTTCTCGTCTTCTGCTACTGGCATACAACCACTTAACCTTCACAACTCTTCTAACCAGTGTACGTGTAAGCAAGGGACCTGTGGACTCTTGACAACGAGCTGATGGAACTTTTTATAGGACTCAATCATCTGATTTAGTCGAATTATCTGGAGAAAGATGTCTCTTTAAAAGGGACATATTTCTATGTAGTGTGAATAGTTGTAAGAACAATCTAATAATTAGCAGCTCCTCTACGGACAATTTAACGCAAGCGGCAGCAAGTCCGCTCTATGACAAGACCCTCACTGTGCCCCATCCAATTAACCATAGTCTTGCTGCGCTTAAAGCTGTTGAGGAGGATCTGGAGTAGAATAAACGAAAGAAGGAGAGGAAGAAAGTAAATTTATATTTTTAAGTAGGTAGTTAGAAAGGGTTAGGATTTTTTCTTTTTTTTGGAGATAAAGATAAGAGAGTGGGGAAGGATGGGAGAGGGAGAATGCTAGTTTCTTCCTAACAGGAGGAGACACTGCAAGAATTCCACCACTTCGTATAGCTTCTCTATTAACTTGAAGAAACTATTCTCCCTAAACCAATCAAAACACTCTTTCTGATGTAGACTATGCATTTTCTTTGGTCTCTTGCACAAGCCGAGTGGCCCTTTGGTGTTAAAATGGATCATAGTATTTATAGGTATAATTTGGATATTTACTGCAAAGGGTTTACCTCTTCCCCTCCTCCCTCCTTTGTAAGGGCTGAATTCAACCCTATTCATACACTGAGCCAAGCCAAGACAAGTTAAGCCAACCCAGGCTCTGCCCAGCCCAGCCTTTGATCAAGACTGCACTCTTTTATGTCCTCCTCCACTGGCAAAACAAACAGTGACTGTTGCATTACTAATCAGTATACATAATTCATCGGGTAATATTGTACCATAACCCTAAGAAAAAGATCTGATCTTGTCTCATTGATCTCGCAAAACAGAGTATACATTATATCGAGGTCGGCAGTTACCTCTTCTACCCACATCTGCAGCTCAGCCAAGGGACCAGTGTGGCTATAAGTCAATCAGTCACTCAATCACTCAAACATTATAGGTGTATGAACTCACAAAATGCTGCAATTTTACCTACTTTTTAATGATGATTTGGTAATTTTTACAGCTCCTTAGGCGGGTTGAATTTCGCTTTAGACAGGCGGGAAGAGGGCAAGGGTAACACCTTGATCAGTCCTCTTGGTAACAAGCTACCTATCCTAGGATTTTAAGCTAGCCAACCAGCTGCCTGTTCTTAACAATTTCCTCTTTAATAATATCACAATTGTCAACCCCAAAGCTCAACTTATGCGTATTTTCATTTGACACTTCATCAACAACGAATGTTACACCTCAGATTTTCCATACAGCCATATCATTGACTGACCCATTGAAGACTACTTTGAAGGGGATCCCCTCGCCGATTCCCAGACTCGTAGATGCACAGAAATGCGTGTAATCCACTTCGATAACTCCATCACGGGACTTATATTAGTGATAACTGAAAAATTTTGGTTTAATCACCCCTTCTCACCGATAGTCTAGGGATACGTCTTCGGAGGTGGAACTAACGACTCATTTATGACAGCCTGTTGGAATCTGTATGACACTTTTAATGGATATAGCGTAAGCTCAGACACAATGCTTTAATAAATGTAAAAAGATAGATGGATTGATGGATGGTGCTTCGCAACATCTTCAAAAGGAGGGAGCTAGGGCAGGTAGCTCAGGCACAATCCGATGTCCACGCAGGTGAACCCCTCATTAGCGGTATGACAGGCATGGGCATTGTTTCATTAATTGTTCTACTTATCAGTAAATTCTTACACTTAGTAATTATGTCGGACAAGTGGGTGGGGTGCTTCCTGTAACAACAGCCATACATTACCACTAAGGGAACAACTCTTTCTCCTCATAAGATGCCATAAAAAATAACTTTGGCGGCTGAATTTGATACGGAATAGCTCATGACAATAATATGCCTTAGGGGTTGTTGATTATCCTTTTTCCTAATAACATGACACACTTTAGAAATTCCTGGAATTGTTTTTTTCCTTTTAGTCGGTAGAGCAAATTGGCATTTTTTTATTTGATTAATGGACAAAACATATTAAAGAATACGGTGTGATCTGCTGATAAAGCCAAGGCAGTTATTTTAACCGATCTGAAATCGATTAATTTATAAGTTAGAAGTGATAACTTTAATAATAAAGCATATAAAAGAAGTTATTTGTGAATAACTAATCAGTTCTCAATCTTATATTTAGTTCCTCTAACCAACATCTTGACTCTCAAGGTCCCACAAGGTCGGGCTCATATGAAGGGTTTTGGGTAGTTAAGATATCCCATTCAAAGCAGGGATTATTAAGTTTTTTTATTTGGCATTCGGCAACCACATTTCGCCCTCTTCAAATAAGTACAAATCTTCTCAAACCTTCCATGTTTAAACACATCACTATTCGGTCTAATGCGAGAGGGCGTCAGTATCTACTGCCTACCTGGCGTTCACCCTGCTGTCAATGTCTGGGGGCTTATCGTGTCTTTATTGTTGGGAGGGGAGGAGGGCAAATAAAGTCACAGAAATCGAATGACATGCAGGCTAGGCTTGATGTAGGCCGTGGTCGGGTCTTTAGCACTGCCTTTTAATTGTATTCTTCCTCAATATGGGTCGTCACTCCAGGCTGATGACAGATAAAATTCTTCCGACGGTGTTGAAATCAATAGATTTTGTTTCTGGATGTTGGGCGTAATTCACACAAACATTCGTCTATCGCCATGGTGCTGATGGTATAAACTTGCGGTTAATGGCCCCCCTGTATGTCACACAAATATTGGAAGGGCCTCATTCACTAGCTTTAATCATCATTATCTATGTGTAGTGGCGTAATGACAGCTGTCGCAGTGAGCAAATGCCAGTGTGCATTGCATAGCTACGCTTACCTACCTATCTACCTGCTTACATATCTATAAGGACTGAGCAAGTTAATTCTAGGTGAGGATATTAGGATTAGTGACTAATCCGGCTGGGTATTGCTAAACGGTGTTGACTTCGGCTATTAGTCAGCACAGCTCAAAACTGAGGACAAAGGAGGCCCAGAAAAGCTGACTCAAACCAATCAAATTGCGCTATGCAAACACAGGGATGGCATTTGCGCCCGTTGACTGTAAACCCATAAAAAAACGAAAAAACCGTTCCAATTGGAACAAGCTTACCTCTTTCCATCAGTAAACACTTTCTTTTGAGTGCTTCCCCCTTTCCTGTCCATTTTAAGTCTTCTTATAGGAAATAACCTTAAACTGGTTAACTCCTTCATCTGTAAATTTTCTTTTGACCAACCGAATGAAAACTTTTCCTTTTCTTCGTTAACCAAGTGATTCATGTGGGTCACTCTAATTGTAAATCTTCTTTCAAACGTTAGTTTTTTTGAGGCTGTTTTATTTTTTCCCTTTTGTTTTAAAATTCAATGTAATTTTGAGGTAATGAGACCAGTTATTGGGTAATCTCGTGGAGAAATAGGTGCCATCAAAATTCCCCTCCTAATTTAATCCCGTAGTTTACACTAACTGAGTCCACACTGCTCCATTGGGGCCCATTATTACGTAGTCATTTACCAACTATCAAGCGTTAACCAATTCGCTTCTCTCTCACCACTATTTCAAATAGGAAATTAAGAAGAATAGGAAAGGGAAAAAACCAATCCCATAATTCACAATGGTTGAATTCCAGCAAAGAATGCGGATGCCCAATTAAGAATTCTTCAACATCAGAAGGATTAATCACCTTTTATATTACCCACAACCCTTTTGGTCTGTATGCCTTACAGTCATTGAGCAAAAGTTCTTCAAGTTGGCTTATCTGACCGTGATTAAGGTTCCTATCAGAATGAGTTAGGGTAAAATAATGATATAATAATAAAAAAAGTTCAAACTTCATTTTGGCTTCCATAGCTATTAATTACCGTTCCATGTGAGTTTCATTTGCTATGGCATGTATGCAATGACGTAAAGTATGGCCTAAGTGTCCTTAGTCCCTTACCTCAAAAGCATGTTTTCTTTAGAAGAACTACCGCGTGCTTTAAATGAATCTAACAACAATTTCCAACAATTTAGCAGCTGAAATGGTGTTTCAGTAGTGCCACAGGGTTTAGAAGCGAAAGGCGAAGAGTAAGAGGGATGATGGCTGCAGTAGCGTGGTACAACTATGGTTGCTATAGGAACAGTAAGCACACTCAAAGTCTACGCGCAACTGCTACAAACATGACAGTCATGAATGCGTAGTGCTGTTGGCGTGCCTGCACATACCTACGCACTTGCGTGTGTGCATGCGCGTGTGTCTATCGACCTCGCCTTAATCGTACTGCGTTTCACCAATCCGCGAGGAGATCAATAGGCCTGGCCTCATAGCCAAATCTGATTGGTGAACTAGCTAGACCGAGTCACCGCCGTATTGGTCAGATAAATTTAGCCGACATATCGTATGTGTGTGTGCGCGCAGATCACGTCACGCGTTCATTGCCGGGCGTTACACTGCGTAAGCGGCGCGTGCGCACGTGCAACTATGCATGCACGCACATACAAACGCACGCACACTCACGACATTTACACACCCTACAATTGCGTGTAATGACGTGTTTCTTCAGTTGAAACTCACTGTGCCAGTCTTGCTGCGTTGCTAAATGCACTGTCACCACCATCTGCGAAGGCGATCATTCATCCACTGCAGCGGGAGAAGCATCAGCATCTAATGGTGGTTTTAAATTGCTACCCTGCAATGTCTTCTACTGCTTCCACAGCATCCAGCAACAATAGCAATAACAAATCCAACACTGTCCCCACATCCACAGCCAACGGTTCCGAGTTCTCCCAGGAACAATGGTTGGATCTCCTTCGTGTTCTACCATCCAGCAGTCGAATGAATCTCCAACTAGCTTTAAGGCAATTTCTCCAGGAGACAGGTGACATTGAAACTGACAAAATCGACCAAAAGACTCCCCTTCCGGATGCGTCGACGTTGGTTCGTGCCTCTCTGCCACTAGATGACATGCCGCAGAATACCTATGGAACTGATCGATATCTCACTTTGCTGAGACAATCCCTTGAGTTGGATCGCAAACCTCTGATTCCCTCGGCCACACTGGACACACCTAACGGTCTTGACACTCTGGCAGCTGCAGCATTGGCAAACACTAGTGCTGAGGTGAGTCAGACTGTCACTGAATTCATATTGAAAGTTAGGTAGGGTCACCTGCAATTCGGCCTTACTTTTGTGCGGTTTCCTGAATTTTAATCGCGAATTCTATCTGAGGATCTGGTGAATGTCAACGGCGGGGGGGGGGGACAAATGAAATAATCGGCCTAAAGTGACGGCAGAAGTGAAAGAGCATAGTGACTACATCAAAACAGTTGTCTTTTGACAGATTTTACTTGATTTACACATTAAGAATAGATGCAGAGTGGGTAGACGCCCACGACCCCTGTCCCAGTGATTCACACACACGAGTGCGCGATAACGCCTAGTTGCTATGGCGCTATGTCGTCGTAGCAACGATGGGCGTTGTTGGAAATCACCTCTACTGTTGCGTCAGTTTGGCGAAATGAAGCGTTTTGTCTGCTCAAGGTCGCGGCTGGTGTGTGCCAGAGGATGTGAGGCAGATGTTTGGCAGGCGGGGAGAGGAGAGGCGGTGCGGAAGGGTGGTGAGGCGAGGGGGGCGAAGCGAAGGCGGGAATCAGAAGGAGCTGAATATAATCCGTTAGGGTGTTCCTTTAAGCTAGGGCATGCAATAAGTGATCATGAAGTAACGGTGGGAGTCGACAGTGTGCACGTGCGGGTATGTGAAGACGTTGTTTATACATGCATGCATATACAAATACACGCTTATGCCATGCCTATGTACACGGATGCATCCACTCGGGTGCACAGATGGAAGAGCAATGCCGATAGGCGTGTGCATGTGTGTGTATGTGGGCGTGTGTGTGTGTGTGTGTTTATACTTCATCGAAGAGGCAGTGAGTTGTGGAAAGCCCCTTAACTATTTGATGCGTAAATTAATGTTTTTTTGCACATGTGCGTAGCTACGGGGACACACATTTAGGTGTCAATTTCTTGTTAACTTGATTTGCGATCAGGTCTTTTCAAATGGGCAGCAGTTTGAACGGCACGTCACGCTTCCATCGATTTCTTTTGGCCTTACCTTGAAGTCCTCATCAAACCCCTCTCCCATTTCCCCGTTCAACTCTTAAAATATGTGCTTGTAGCTGACTCTTTCATTTTACCAATCAATTATGTTTAAAGTGGAGCATTTCTAGCTTTTTTTGTGTTTACTCGTTCATGATACTTACTGATTGTAGTACTTGTTTGTTGGACTGTTCATTCCTTGGTGAACTTTTAAGCACCTCCCATCTCCCCCAACTTTCTTGACATTCAGGGTTCATTCTACAGGCAATTCGCTTCCACTCATTAAGGGTTCAGTAGGATTAGGCTGAACTTAGGGTCCCTTTTTAGGGTGGAAATATCTCCTCGTAGGGATATTTTGTATTTCACTGGCTCCCAGTCAAGCCTATTCTAAATCGACTTTGTGGGGCGAAAATACATCTTTTTTAACTTTTAACTCTGTGGAAGTCTACTAACAAACTTCATGAGGTCTGATGTAATGAGAATGCGGCCTGAACTGTCAGAGTGACCTTAAGAGAAGGTCGCGAAGACATGAAATATCTACCACTTCCAGACTTATACATCTCTTTTTAACTTGATATTTGTGAAATAAAGGGACAAAATAATCGTTTTTTACCTAGTTGGCTCATTTTCCAGAAAAATAGCTCCCTTTCCAAGCTTGGTTCACTTTTATTATCGATCATGGGAAGATCAGGCTCCACCTGAAAATTGGAAACTTTTTGTGCGATTTAGTTGGTTAACTCTGCCGCCAATCAAAAATGCCGGCTTACTCAGATGTCATAAATGTCAGTTATTTGTAGGTTATTTAGGGTAAATAATTTGCCTCGAATTGACTCATCACTTCCAGGTAGCAAATACCAAGTGTGAGTTAGATGACTGTAAGTTTCACCTGCTTTTTTCTTACTCGTACATCTTATATCCTACAGCGTAAGTTTCCATCGGTACAATGTGCCACTCTCAATGGGGCCATTTTTGATCGAGGAGACTTTTGCTGATCACTTCAAGATGAAGAGAGGTAACTTCACTCCATCTATTGATATGAGAAGACTGGAAGAGAGGGCAAACGATAGAAGCAACTAGGGAATTCCAGACTACCTGATATGCAATTTAGAATACGGGACAGACCTACTTATACTCTATATGAGTAGTGCCGAGTAGAACATGGCGAGAAAAACATGTGATTGTAACGTGGTTTACCAATTGGTCGCATCCATCTATAAGCAGCTTTTAAGTGTTTTCGTGGTTTTATTGTAACGTTAAGAACCAAATTGGATTCAAAAATAATTACTTAAATCATTAAACGAAAACTATGGATTTTGACAGGTGAAAAATGGATTTCTCCAAGAGGGGACAGGATTGTGTAAACTTTTTTTTAATAGTGAATCATCGCGACTAAAAAACGCCCAAAAGCTTGTCAACGGAATCACATTTACATAGAGATGAGTCATCCCCCCTGTGATCTCTTAGGCGAGGTTCTTTTGCACACCGCAATGAGGTGTGAGTCATCTCACCTCCAAAATACCAACACCACTTAAGGTCATTTGATTGTCTAGACCCCTATCTATTAGGTGTGGTGTAGCCTGTGGGTCAACTTTTCCCTCATCCAATCGAAACCCGCCGAGATTGGCCTTGATACACCTACTGCCTCATTTCAGATTGTGCACGCATCGACGATGACTAATCATGTGCGTGAGTCATGGTGTGTCGTGGAGTCACTGCACTGGCTACTGGTTGTCCAATTTGATGGCACCATGTCAGTGTTGTAACGGCGTAAGGTTTTGATCACGCAGTGTTTCGCTAACCAAGCATCCGAAATCCTTGATTTTGGACCTTGTCGAAAAGTCAATCCTTTCAATTCTCTCAATATTTGGAATAAGGTGGATATCATGGAGCTCACATATGCTACTTTACAGTTGGACACAACAATAAGTATGGAGCTTGTTTTTTACACTAAACAGTAGCCGTCAGACTGACAGAGGAGGTCCGAATCAATTAATCAAGCCCCTTGGATGCCTACTTATGACAATAAATGGTGTAACAACCAGGTTGAGTCTGGGATGGAACTAATGTTACAGCGCAAGTACGGTTATTCTCTCGGTTGGGGAAGGAGAAGAGAAGGAATGATGGGTGAAGAAATTTGTCACTATGCTATGCACACTTTACGTCAGTAATGATTTGATACTCCCGATGGGTTCACGCAACTTCTATTCACACCACTTGTCATGTGACAGAACGCTACTGCTGCTTTAGCGCGTGTGATTAGTAGCCACTTTTACTCTGGGTGTGCCTCCTCCTAGACACCCTTACCTCGTGACCCAGCAATCTCTTAGGTGCATCCGACCAGTAGGATATGAAAAGGATCGGTCATACAACCGCCTAGTGATGAGTTGATGGGATTACTGTAGTCCATCTCAAATGAGGCAATCCGAGGGGAACTCAATGTATTCGTTGCTCCAAGAAAGAATGAGATTGGGAAAATGCACCCATTTCCTTGGTCACACATGTCATGTGATAATCGGTTGATGACCTGAAGTATTTAACACTTCTTTGATGCGTAATTTTGAGTTCACTCAACAACGCAGTTCAGTTAGCGCCCCCTCCTCCCTCCACCAAGGTCAGCTGGTCCGTATTGATAGAGGTGAATCGAAATTCCGCTAAAAAGTTGGTTCAACAATGCACATACGTGGCTTCAACACCGAAGGAGAGGCGAGTAGAGGGGCTATAGGGCTACGTAATTCTCATCGTTGAAACGAGGTAAAGATTTTATCGACTGAACAAAACCCCACAGGAAATGCAGTCATCTCATGGCAAAGAGACAATAAAATAGTAGAAATTGCCGTAATTGTGCACACTTTTATATGCACCAACTAAAATAAATCATTTATCTATTGTTATCTTGAAAAGGTCAATGATTGCTCAAAAAACACTGCTTTAATAAGAAAAATTACCACATCATATTCGTTTTGCTTGCAAAGTAAGAGGTAGTAGAGTAAGCGAAAATTAGTGGGTGAATTTTATGTAAAAATCCGGTAAATTCCGACAGTGTGCATGGATGTATGATTCTGCGGTAAGAATTGAAATGCGCTCCTGCAAGGCAATGTTTCATTTGAAAGGGATAACCATAAAGGGTTCTTTTTCCCCTCTTTACTGAGATAACCACTATTGCAAGATGCACGTAACAGTCTCCCCTCCCTCATCAAGACATCGATGAAGCGAAATCCATTTGTTTACACAGGCCTTTAATCCCTCGAAAAAAATATCCAATGGCCATCGTTTCTACCTCAGTTCCACTTCTCACTTGTTTGTGCTACTTCTCATACAATCATGTGATTGTCAAAGATTTGTGTTAAGAAAAGGTGATTATCACCTGAACGAATGTCACGGGATTACCCAGGCTGAGAGTGAGGCAAGATCGTTCACTCATCCTGAAGTCGTTTTGTTAAAATGCATCCATTCTTTCTTCCAAAAAAGAACAAATGCTACGAAACATCACGTTATACCGGAAGAGCTGTTCCGGTTGGAATTGAATTCTTTTTACCAAGCGATTGACAATCACCTCGGTTGTACCTCATGATTTGCCTTTTAAGGCCACATAAGGAGACTGTCACTGTAGGTCGTACTGATGTCGGTTAAACACAGTAGCACATAATTCTGGGTAGATCGGGATTACTCATTGCGTACATGACATTTTGCAGGTCATTTTTGATTTATGTACGCCGAGTGGAGAGAATCGACTGAACTCACATTTTTGCAGTCGCATATTTTACAGTAAAAATTTAAACGCCAAATTTTGGGCCAACCTTTAATTCTTGGTGCATTAACAATCTTTGTTTAAACTGACATCCATTCCCAATGACCCGTAATTGGAGCTAGAGTCGCCCACCAGACAGACGAACCGCGATGATAGTCAAATCTCTGAGATACGATCAGATTTATGGTGAAGCACAGTCATAACACCAAGGAGTAGTTCATCTCGGTGATCTCGCTATTTATTGCGGAGTAGAAGCTGGTGGAAATGGTTATTGCCTACTCAAAGAGAAGAAATAATTCTGTTCGCCTAATTTCAGACAAATGTCACCTCCACATCGGCAGTTACTGTGATTCAAGGCAAAGCAGTGGCAGGTACTGGAATGGTAGCAATCCCCATAACTGCCCAAATGGCTCCAGCTCTTCTGGGCGGTTTCAAGACCGATTCGAGTCAACGTCAATCACCGACTATCCGGGAGACCCCGAAGCGGTTAGCTGCCACACGCGCTGAGGCCGAACAAGCTGCTGCAGCTCATGCTGGTACTAACACGGCAGTAAAACGCAATCGTTTGGCAAGTGACAGTGTGATGGATGATGTAGAAATTTCCACTGCTGCTGCGGCGGCCGCCACTACTGCTGCCAATCTTCTACTCTCTAATGGAAGCCTTCCTAAGTCGTCAGCGTTAAAACCAGATCCTGAATGTGTCGGCGCTACTTACGCTTTCCATGGAGGAAGTACTGAGTTCTCCAGTAACTGGAACCTTCCTTCTTCCTCAGCTGTCGCGTCTGCTGTTAGCGGTGGCAGCGTAATCCTGACGGAGAACAATCGCCGACGGACAAGGGACGAAGGGGTGAGTCCTGCACCAGCTTTACATAAAAAGAGACGATTACTTCTCCATCTACAAATCCTGTACCGTCAGTTTTATCTCCAAATCAAGTTTCGACTTTATTATTTCATTTGTAAGTCATTAATTTTGTCAGTTGACAAATTCCACTTCTAGTCAATTCTCTTCCGCCTTCACTGAGTGTCATCTGTAGATCTGAATAGTTACAAGAAACTTCTGATAAAAATCACAAAATCGCCTAGCAGTACACAAAAGTTCATTCGGAAGTCATAATGTCTGAATATCGTGACTGTGGAGCGGTTGTTTACCCCGCATTTGTGAGAGGCTAAAAAGGGTGATCCGGTGAACCAATCAGATCACCAATAAATCGCCGAGTGACCTTGAAATATGTATATTTCCACTTGGCTGTGATTCATCTCAAGTGGGTTAAAAATTATGGCAGTAGAGACGAATCCTTTTTTTCCCTCCTTCGTACCATGGCCACTGGATTACCCTGGCCTGGACTTTTTTATGCCTCTCTTCTCATTGGCTGTTCGGACGCGTATACGCGTGCATGCGTGCGTGCGCAGGTATGTGTTCGCACAGCGTAGCCGTTCGTGAGTCAACTACTGGTGCGCACGTGCGTGCATCTGCGTCGACGTTCAATGGCGAAGTCAAGGTCTGTCAGCTGATGTGTGTGCGTGCGCTATGGTGCTGAGGGGACTGGTAGTGGTGGCGATTTTATTACCCATAGATGGACGATCATGATAACTTGGCTGGGAATGAGGCACTGGTTTATTGGTAACGGTTTCCAAGGCGAACAAGGACACAGTAATTTAATTATAACTAATTAATTTAGTGGTCCAAAATAAAGCGAAAAAATTAATAATTGATGTGTTTTTAGGCTGTATTGAGTCAGTTCATGGCCATTAAATGTACGAGTAACCCTAAGAAAATTATTTCTTTGGAAGGAGAAAATTTCAATGAGCAAATGTAAACTCAGGAAAGGGTTGTCAGTTATCTCACTAGTGGCTCCCTAAGGATCATCGTCCCTTGGTATATCGATTGGTAGGAGAGCTGCGTTCAACCCTGTCACTTGTACACCGAAATCAAATCGATCAAGATAAAAGGGACCGGGAGGGAGGAGTGAAGACAATGCATTTTTTAAATAAGAGATTTCTTAATATTAATTTTCAAGTTAAATCTGCTTCACAGGAGGACGGGACTCAGAGCATGTGATGGTGCGAAAGAAAGTACAACATTTCTAGACATTTTATGCTCTATTTAATGTGTATTCTGGAAAGGAGAAGTGTATTCACCCCTTGTTGTGACTCACTCGATCATCCCTTTAAACTCTACCGAAGTCCGCTCTCTTGTCCACATAAATTTTTTCCTTAGTTTGGCATTTTACTGTGGTTTATGGCGAATCTTTAATGCTAGTGGTCTATTACAAATCCCTCCTAAATGAGACTGTTTAAAAAAACTGCAAACTTTCCGCTCAGTTAACTTAGTCTTCACAATAGATCCGCCAAAAGATGAACAACCAGAGAAGTGAGAAGGTTCTGGATTAGATCAAGTTTAAGCAGCCTTTTGATTGCTTCCTTTTTACTTTCGACAAACAGATCACCGATGACGAAGCAGCTCGTCGCGAGAAGCGCCGAGAACGCAATCGCGTAGCAGCCGCCAAGTGCCGACAGAATAGGCAAAATCAAATTGAGGAGTTGAAGGCCAGACGAAAGCTCCTTGAAGATGAGGGTAACCGCACTCGACAGCTCATTCAAAATCTTCTTCATGAAAAGGCGCAAATGGAGGAGTTATTGAAGAAGCATGCGGTATGATGGTGTTTTTTACTTTGTGGACTAAAAAGCTATGCAAAATTTTTGTCGAAAATTCATTCTTAAGTATTTGCTACGCGCCTACCTCTTGATTACGTTTGCACAAAGGGTAAATTGCGGTTCTTTTGGACACTGGCTGTTTATATTACCGGTTGGTAAAAACGCTGTCAAATGTCAATCGGCTGACACTTGGTTCGCTGAAAACAACTTTGATGGGTCTTCCGACCGGTGGAGTGTGGTAAGGAAGGCGAATTACGTTTTTTTAAAAGAGCGTCCTTAAACATGGAGGTGAATGGACTAACTTTTGCTTTCTGGAGACAATCAAGGACAATATAGGCTTGTCGCCAGTAATCAAAGGCTGGATCGAGGTTATGGCCTCGTCTATGAGATACCAAAAAAGTGTCGCTGGATTGGTTACAGTTGTGGTTAGCGTAGGTGAAAGGGAGGCTTAAGACACTGTGTAGATAAGAACTGCTGAGCAAATAGTCAAATTGTACTGCCACCAATTACCGTGGCAATGGGTAAGGTATGTCACCGCAACTCCGATCACAGAGAGAACGGTGACACCTTTCTCTCCTACTACTGATGTCCTCTCTCATCCCCTGGTACTTAAATTTTTTTCGGAAAATTTTAGGATTAACTTAATCATAGGGAGTTATAAATCAGGAAATTTACGACGAAATTACGGTGCCTCACAGAGGTTTGGAGACTTGAACCACCTCGAGGGTTAAACCTCCTTTTTCTTCCTTTTTTTTTCAAAGCAAATAAAGAAGCGAAACTAGTCTTTTGCAAAAGTAATTGACAATGACAAGTCATTTCTATGTGCACTGTTTACGATAAGTGGTAGGTTGAGAAATCACGCCATGTTGTGTTATCGCGCGCATGACCGATCACGTGACTCATGAGTCATATGCAACCTTCATGCTAGTGGACACTTGCAAAAGTATTTCCCACAAATTAAAGCTTATTTTACTCTATCTTGTCAAGATGCTAGATGTACACCTTAAGATCTGGGCGAATCATATAAGTCGTTGGATGACCCATGTCTTTGATGGCTTATAATCACCACGATACAAGTAGGTGGTGATTTCCACAACGCTTCGCCTCCAAATGCAATACCACCCCTCATCGTAGTTTTCATCCCTTTTTATTTCCTAACTTTCCAGTATATTTTGCGTGTGATTTTGCGGATGTCTAATGTCAAGTCAGGCTGATAAGTATCACATGGAGAAGCTTCACCATGGTGATATATCTCCCTGTCATTCCCATCCTCCATTACCAATGCACGTAATCATCACAAGCGTATGTATTATCGCGGTGTGAGGTGTTGCGTTGCCTCCACTAGAATTGGTTGTTCCCCCATGAAGAAAGCTGTATGGCATAGAGTGGATGAAGTTGACCTTCAATATGATTCCAAGAGCACAGTTGCATCTCCAGTGGCACGCACCCACACAAAGCAGGCATAGCCTTCCAGGGCTGAAGTGGTGCGCGCCTGAGATGCATAGGTTGGTGAGTGGGTGGTAACTAAGTCCTCTATGATTGGTTCGCTCGCTTAAAGCTAGTTATAGTGAGCACTAGATCGCTTTTTCATTACAATTCATTCACTCACTCAACCACTCAGTCAGTCATCAAACAATCAAAAAGGTACGGTCTCTCCTTTCGTAATTGAAAGGAGAGAGGAAGTGAGAACCTACAGCTCAAGAACTTGGATTTCACTATCATGGGTTGTTAATACATGTAAGCGGTAGTCGTTTGCTCATATTTCATCACTTCGCCTTCTCAAGTGATGTGGATCATGTTTCTTCACTCACGTTAGATACTACGGAATAAGCCTCCTTTTCTCTGCTAAGAAAATCAATTTTTTTTCCGCAACTTGAAGGAGTTTTCCTAGAGATTCATCCTCTCTAAACCTTCAGTAACATTTCTGCGAGAGCCTTCCATAGCTTTGAATCGGGGGCAAGTAGGAATCACACCTATTGGGCTTGTTATTACTGACATTTTATAATATAAAGGCGAACTGAAGGTAGTAGAGAGCACATAAAAAAATTTGACGTACTGGTAGACCGATGCACTTCTTTGTCTTTTCTTCTTGGTTCATGCCTATAACCAACCGTACTTCACGTGTCTCTGCAAGTCAATAGTGAAAAAATTTGCCTAATTTAACCTGCCGGAAGGCTCTCTTTTTGTGAAGGCAAAACAAAGTGTCACACATATGTGACGCCGTTAGAGAACCCACTGAATAGAGGGCCAGCTATTGCCGATGTTTTTCTGATCTTAAACTAAATAAGTGACTCCAATGACCTCTACTTTTCCTCTCATTGACATTTAGCAAAGCGGTTGCCCCGCAGCAGCCCAATACTTTGAGAATGGGACCCTGCTCCTTCGCCTTTCTGCGGCAGCAGCAGCCGCATCATCAACGTCGGCATCAACATCAGCATCAGCCAATACGACATCCGCACAGAGCATCCGGATAATCCAGCCTTCTAATCCCCATCAACTTCAACTCCCCAATCCTGGAGCAGCCTCCATAGCCTCCACAATTTCGTCCCCTGCGGTAATTAAGCCAGAGGCACCTAGTTCAAGTACCCCGATGACCTTCGTACCTGCTCAGCGACCCAATACCCTCTCCTTGGTCACCTCGACGAAAGTGGAACTTCCTACACCGATGCTGGACTCTGCGGCTGCGTCGTCTGCTACGACAACCCATCTGGCTGCACATTTGTGGTCACCGTCGGTGGCAGCAAAGATTAAGACACCGGGAGGTGAAAATTGGGTGAATAGTCAAATTGGATTGCCACCAATTACTGTGCGGCCGGAGAAGGATGTCACCACGTCTGCAACAGCTAGTACAACAACTCTCCTCTCTACTCCTGATATCCTGCATCATCTTGGAATCTCTTTGGCAGCTGCACATGCATCAAGCAGCACAGTAGCTAACAAACCCAACACCATCCAAATTGGTTGTACTGAAGGAAAGAACACCCCAACACTAACGTCACCTTCTGCGTCGTCCACACCTTCCACAGGTACTGCTTCCACCACGACCGCAACGACAAATATGGGCTAGGAAGACGCCATAGCAGGACTGTGTACATACCCCATGGGAAGTGTATTCATTCATCTCATTTACCTAACCACCATTCATCCACTTCTTTCAACTTCTTTTTTTGCGTCTTGAAAACAAAAACCCAGCCATCTGTGATCTAAGCTGAGTAGGTTGTCTAGATTGTCTGTCTGTCCGCCTGTCTGTGTGTGTGGGTTTTGAATGTGCAACCGAATGAATGAGTGAGAAGCATTGACGACTAGCCATCCACCTTTTGTCTCCCCTTGCTTAGTAGACCCCCCTCACTCCCACTTTCCCTTTCAACTGAACACACGCACGCACAAACGCACAAATGTGCATTAGTATTCTGCCCCCTCCCCTTCTTCTCCTCCCATCTCCCGCCACCCCACCTACAACTGAAGATGCCTCACAAGGATACTTCTATATTTCAAAGGCAAAAAACAGAATATATATGCATTACTATACTTGAGCATTGTCCATATCAAGTCCGCATATTTGGATTCTTCAGAGCCAAAAAGGGCCTTGTTGGGGATCCTGATTTAGTTTGTTTACAAATGGTGGGCCATCTGACCTCGGTTCATCCTTAAATTACGCAATCCCTCCTCCAGGAGAATATTAGCGGAGATGTTGATCATTTCCCTGAATGAAAGCATCTTCCATCATCAGACATTCTACTGGAGCAACTTTTAAGATTAGGTAGAAGGCACGCCAGCTTTTACGTCTTTTTGTAAAATATCAAATGCCTCAAAGGAGGGTCTACATAATTGCCTTTTTCTCCTTAATGTGACACCCTTTTTGGAAAAAAACAATCCTAAGGAATCCACTGAACTAGTCAAAAAGTGTGCATTTTCGGTCCACAAATAGCACACTTTTAGGGTGAAAAATGGCTTACAAATAAATTTGGTACCAAAACTGTCCGTTAAACCTTCCTTAACCCCGATATTTCACTCTTTTTTCTAAATACGAAGCTCTATTTCACACTACTTTTTTATTTTATACAAATTTGGCTATATTTTAAAGCCCAAATTAATTTTAAATACTTGTCAAAATGTCAAAAGGCCAAATCAGCGTTTAAACACAGCTGGAGCATTTATGGATGCCTCCGGTTGCATGTGCTGAGAAGCATGGCCTAACCCTTTTATCCTAGAAACGTGTGCATTGTGTGTGGGTGACTTGTCTGCACACAAAACACCGCAGCACTTCACTCCTCGTATCGTGGTAATCGAATCCTCCCTCCTAGACCCAACCTGCTTGAACTGCCCGACCACGGCTTTCACTGTGATTGGTGGTCAATAAGAATTCAGGCTTCTTGAACATCGGAGAATCCTCATTTCTTAGTACAAAAGGGTCTGCATTACTGAAGTTACTCTCGCTCGAATAAGCGAATTGCCGATAAAAGCGCTTAAGAAGGACTTGTGCTATTTGCAGCGGCGAGTAAACATTTGCCTCTAGCGATCATAAAAAGGACAGAAGGCCAGTGGGGAAAACTCCAGTTCGTGACCTCTTTGGGCCGCAAAACCCACCTGTAACACAGCCGCTGAAATATTTTATTAGGATTTCTAATCTGAAAAAGTATTGCCATGAACTTTATGGCAGTAAAAGGCACCGGGTTGCACTAAAATCTGCCAATTTGGTTGGCCACCGAGAGGCCTTGAAATTTGAATTCTACTAGTGTGCAAAGTACAGTCGAATTTGAACGGTCCTTCTTTTAAGTTTCTTCGGCCAACTTTGTGAATTCCTTTTTAACCTCAAATGTGAAATTTAACTGTGCAATTGGGCTACATACACACACACACGTACGTAACCCAACATGTTTAGTTATTGTCTTTTTCAGGGATGAAAAGGCCCATGTAACAGCTAACCCCTTTTTGAATCGTGTGAAAGCAACTAAAACGCGCACATGCACGCATACATTAGTCAAGAAGCGGCTATTTAGCCTAGAGACCACATACAAAATGATCGCTTTACAAGTGCGCGCACGTCCGTTACTTGTTCAGCACGCGCGTGACCTTGGGCTGACCAATCAGGTGGGGGCGGGCTTCGTAAAGTGCATAACTTCACAAAGGTAAACTCTTCCCATTTGCAGGAAATTTTAAAATAAATAGAACCCAAGATAACTTAGTTGTTTTTCCACTCCTCTAACGAAAATATCTGTTTTTGGGTAGTGTGGAAAAGCAAAGTTCTGATACCTTTTATAAGCACATAAAAGCAGGATTTTGCAAAGGAGGTAAACATGATTTTTCGATCTATAATGAAAAAATTAGGAAGTAAACAGAGCTGAGTGTAGAAAGACGACTGGCCTTTATCACATAATAAACACCTCTGACATCCTCCACTGCAACACATGAGATCAGCAAACATGTGTATTGCAGCAGTGCGGAGTCTTTCGTTTTTGAAGAAAAATGTAACTTCCTCCCTACTGACTAACAAGTTGTGGTTGCTCCCCACGAAGAAGGTATATTTGATGTGCTTGTACCAGCTGCGTCGTATGGAGGGGATAGATCACCAGTCTAACTGTTTCACCTCCTGGAGCGCAGTTGCGTCCGCGGTGCGCAACACCCACGTCATGCAAGCACAGTCTTCTGGGGGCAGATCTCAAAGCCATCGAAGCCTATTTACAGCATGTGCTGAATATATCATGAGATTTTACGGGCTCCGAATTTGCCGAGAGATGTGATCTAGGCCACTTAAAGAACCCCTTTAATGCCATAAGGATGTGACAAGAGCATTCATCCTCTTAGGAAATGATCACTCGCCTCTGTAAACCAGAGAAAGATTTAATTGACACCATTACTATTAAGTGGTGTCAAACCCGCATTTGACTAGAAATGGAGCCTACATAGCCTAGGTAGTGTATGGGCTCTAGTGATAAATCACTGAGAAAGACCTCCCATCCCCCACCGGCTCTCCTGGTCTTAATGATAGTGAAGAATCCCCAGAGCAAATAGTGGGAAGTCATTTCGAGACTAACCCCTCGAAGACAGCCTTACGTCGTGTTTCGCGTGGTCACCTAAAAGTTGTGGCAGCTATCAATCCAAGGGGCACCACCCATATGTACTAACCAAGAGGTGACACTAAGCTTCTATTTTACTCCAATCATGTTACAACAGAGCCTTAAGCGTATTTCACACTGTCTCCTGACTAAGTGACTTGTGATGAGAAACACCTTTTGTGCTGCAGCACTTTTTAAGTAAACAAACACATCACCGGTTATCTCAAACGATTTATCCACTTACTCACGCGACCTCACAAGTTTGGCTGCTGGGCTCAGTAAAGCCCCACCGTGGATGAGAAAAGCAATCAGCTCCCATTTTTGGCTTTAAAAGTTGGATAGATAATTTTGATTGATGTGAAGAATATAGACTTATAAAGGGGAGAGAGAGAGGCTAGAGTTCTAGAAGGGGATACGATTGCATCAAGAGATACCAAACATTTCGCGATGTCTCATTCATTAGAAAAGAGAAAAAAAATCATACAAGAACACTAAATCAGAAATCAAATCAAACCGTGCCAGCGGTGGAAATATCCACAACAAGGGGACTGGTCTGTTGAAAGGTGCAATTTATAATTGCAGCGAGGGCTTCAAAGACGTCCGCCTTCGCCTTCACCTTCGATGCAGAAGACGAGGGTGTCGGTGGAGGGAGGAGAAAGATGAGGGTGCGAAGAGCGCTACCATTGCCGTTTCGAACACTCACTGACTCCATCAGAGTGCCTTTGACGACCTTGAGAACGGCTTCAGCACGTCGCTGACACCAGGCCAATGGTAAACTCTGGAAATAAAGAGTGCGAGGTAGTCGGGAAAAGAGGCATCCCTGATGTAAAACTTAACAGAGCGGTGGTTAGACATTTGCTCCAAGTGTACTCTTGAAGCTGTTTCAGCGGAAACCAGACCATCGTGTCAGTGCATGCAAATTTGAGATCGGACACTCTCCATTTGAAAAATTTAGTTTGATTTGGAAGTGAAGCACCTACAAAGATATTTTTATTTGCTTGAATGAACACGATGGCATGGCGGTAAAAAGATAACGCACTTTATTACTCAGTTGATCACAAAGGATAATGGCATCACCGTAGTTAAGCCATTTCCTTGCCGGTGTTGCCTTGCTATGTTATTTGGGTGAACATAGATGCGCCAGAGTTTCCGACCACAACAAACAGGAAAGACAAAGACCTCCATACGAGTGTCCTCATTGCCGACCGATAAACTGGTAAGATCTGTAAGTAGGCGTCTGCTGGTTAAAAAAATGGACACTTAGGATTGTCGCATTCTCGTGTATCTATAATATTTTGAATGGCTTTGGTCTCTGTGTATGTAATACTAACCCAGGGGGGAGAACTGCGGAAGAGCACGAGCTTCAAGAAGTTCTAGAATGTTTGGAAATTGGATGCAAAAGAGGAGAATCATACAAAACGGAGCGCTTTCGGAGGTCACAGACATCCCATTAAGCAACATAGACGCCTCAAGCACAAAAGTACCCTGTCACCGAAAGTGTTCAACCTAATGGGGGCAGTTTGCGATGAATGTACCCACCACTAGCTACCGATTGTTTCAACTCAGGTATCCTTATTGGCCGACGCATTTACGATCAAGGCATTAAAGCCATCCACCAGAACAGGAGTTCCCACAAAGGCAGATACGTTGGGATTTCGGAATTATCCAAGTTACTAGGTAGGCCGGAAAATCAGAATTGCCTTAAATAGCACCAACCAACACACACACACCTAGAACTACAGCAACCAAATATTTAGCGGGATTTCAATTAAACTAATAAAATATGAATTTTTCCGTATTTCCTACTTAGACTAGAAATTGTCCACGTAAACTGGATTTGCGAATGTGTTTTAATGTGTGGTTTCCTTCCAGGCATTCTACCGTCAAATTATGGTCGCCATGACAGTTGTTCCACACGACTGCAATCATACGCCATCTGTGCTTCCAATCCGCCAGTTCTACTGTCCCGTAAACCACATTTAAGTTATTTATAGGCTCCTCCACGACTTGTAACATGACCGTGGGTAACTCGTACGCTTCACGGTAACATAAAGAATGCAGATTCAACTGACTGATGAATGAAGGTCATCAAAGAAAAGCAATGAGATTAGTTTGTAAGTTTTGTAAAATTTGGAGCAAGAAAACTTCAAAGTTTCAATTGGAGAAGGGTTAAAGTTTTTTGCTTATATTCTACCCGAGGAAATCTTATACATAAATAAGTAACGACTAAATGTCGATCAGACAATAGCACGTGAAACTGCCCGCTTAATCACGAGAACTGAGCTCGCTTTTGAAGTGACAGTGTAAAGAATACTAAGGAAGTAGATCTGCGAAATTGGGTTTCTTTCAGATGAATTTCAACAATTAGACTCACTTCCAGCGATCGCCGAGTGAACAGCAGTGGCAGAGACAGTGTACTGATATCATACTGATTGCAAACACGGAGAACCGTGGAAATTGCTGCATGAAGGTATGGCGAAAGGGATGGGGAGACAGTCTTGCCTCCCACTGCCTCCCCCTCTGTCACCACATGAAAGACCACCTCCACGCCACCACCGCCACCCGCATTTCCACCGATTTCGCTGGCTCGAAGGTTTGAGTGACGCGTGAGATAGACGTCACCCGGCTTCGGACGTCCCTTCATCGTGTTGCCAACGTTGGATGAGGTGACTGTTAAAAGGGGACGTTTAGCCTAGTCAAATCCAGGTCCTGAACTTAACAACTTCGTGCCTAAAATATCATGCCTACTGAATAGGTATTTAAGTAGCACATTTTTATCTATTCAACAACTAACCACATGAAGACCGTTTACCTTGGGAGAGGTTATTCACAATCTCCTGAATACTAGCCAATTGGCGATCCAATTCGGGGAAGTGGAAGTCTGTTGAAAGTTCACATACTTCAGCAAGGCCTAAAAGGAAGGGTCGCGTACGAAGCTTTGTTTTGACTTACGTTGCTGAGCCCTTGATTGAAACATCTGGCTGTCGACTAGAATAACTAGACCTGTCAATTCGTTGGAGTAAATAGTGAGTGCACTGCTCAACCGCTCGGCTAAATTGACAGTAGCTTCGACGCTACAAAATTCATAAAAAGCACTTATTTAATGAAAACAATAAACTCACCTCGGAGGAGAATTGGAGGCTCCAGTAGATCCAATAGGCGTCATGAGATCTATGGGGTCAGCTTCAACCAATTTCAGGTTATAAAAGGACCGAAGTTGACGACCTAACTGAACCATGAAGCTTTCAGAACGTGGTCCTGTACTATTTGGATTGTTACTCACCATCAGAGGTGTCGTCTGAGTTGAACCAATACCCCTTCACAAGATGAAATCATAGTTGAAAACAACGTATCCTAGGAACTAATATGGGAAGATCCAGCAAACTCACCCCACATCAGAAGGTTTAGGAGGTAGAGGTTTGGACAAATCGGCTTGCAGCATCTGCTCCTCAATGGACATCACAAAATTACGATAGTCCTGACGCTGAGTCTCTTTTAAATCACTGATCCGACTGTTCCAGGTCATCTTCTGAACCTCGTACTCCAAGTGGAAGCGACGTTGAAGCTCCGAAACAGCATCAGTCACACTGATTTCCCCACTATCCTTCGATAAGAGTGCCTCTGTGCTATCCACAATGCTGAAGAATGAAGAAGAAACGACGAAAAATCACCATCTGACACCAACTAAATCTACTTGAGAGATGGGATTAAGATATGAGGTAATCTAATTCACCTCACCTTTTTTGAAGGGCACTAAGAAAACGATCGCGCTCGACAATCTCTGCTTCTATAGCAACAGCAAATGAGTGTTCCAACTGAATCAGATCCATTGCAGCTGGCGACTGAACGATCTTTGTGTAGGTTTGACCAAAAATTTCCTCATCGGTGGGCGGTTCAGCCTGAAATCTTGTGGATATTCGCTAGTTATGAAAAAAGTTGCATTTTGTAAGAAATAAATACCAATCAAACCTCCTTGACACGTTCTTCCAATGAAGCAGCAATTTGTGATGGTGCGTTTTCATCCAAAAGGAGGTTGTCGTACAAACGTGTCAAACAATCATCAACATAGCTCCGCTCATTTTCTTTAAGAAATTTCAACAAAGCATCAGAAAAGTCTACAAAAGACGAGGTATTCAGCGCGTTTCCAAAATTCAAGCAATAAATAGTTTGCTGTCAAACCTTTTTCAGCGAATTTGGGAATATTATGACCAAGAATAAGCCGAGATAACAGCCAACTTGAGGGTTGACAGAGGGGAATGTCTAAAGTTTCCTCACAGGAGACCTTAAAGGAATTCCCGTAGACTTTTTCAAAGCGGAATTGAACTGCTTTAGTCATTTCTAATAAAATAGCGAACAGAAAACTGCATCATAAAGCAATACAAATAGGAACGTAAAAATTTTCCTGTGCGCATAAATTGGGAGAAAATGCTAGAAAGTTATGCACAATTAAGGAGACAAATCAAGCAAAAAAGATTCCTAACTAAATTGAAAACAAACGCCTGAGAAATGAGGCAAATTTGTTACTTTATTCCACAAATTATACTACTGTGCTGAGAACAATCAGGAAATCCACTAATAACAATTACAGTTGGAACGGCGATTGTGCCTGACTATAATGCTGAGAACAAGACCATAATAAGGCACAATTAGAGAGACCATTTGTCTCAAGGTTTACGCAAAACACACCAAACAAGATACCGGTAAACAGGCGGCCCAGTAGCCATCTTAAGCCAATTAAGGCGGTCGTTCAAAGGGCGATTTTAAAGTGCCTCCTAAATGAATAATAGCTAAAACATGAAACATTATTTGTTCTTTTAAAGTCAAGGCATAAAAGACATTATTTTAAAATTTAAAGCCGATGGTACTTACTTGTTTGTGAATAACCAGCACTGTAATTATGAGTGTTAAGAGCTTAACCTCAGTGGGCAGTAAAATTGACAGGACAATATTCTAAACTCCAAATTAAATTTTATTTATCATATCACAAAAGCCTTTTTGGTTTATACATCTGCTTACTTACTCATTTGAATTTTCCTCCGATTTCTGCTTTTATTTCATTGTGTAAATCCCATTCTCAATTCCGTGGTAAGGCTAGTCAGTACAGGGAAAGAGCTACGTGGCTATGTGCTTTAATGAAATAGCACGAGGCGGAAAGGAGTCTCGCCTGGGATAATTTGAGAAGCTTGGTTGATCCAAGTATCTAATGGCAAAGCATTTAATCTCTAGTGGTTTCATTTCTCCAAATATTTAACGAATGTACATCTCAAAATGCCCTAAAATGCGCCAGTCCGCGTGCTGGCATTCATGTGTCAAGTTTGACTTTATCAAATCCACCTGTAAATTTGTGCACTGAAAGTCCGTAAATCCAGTTTTAGTGGGTAAACACTGATTTCAAAATTGTACGAGGCCTTTGGTCTTTTGATATTTCGAGTCCTAATCACTGCACGGTGATACAAACAACTGATAAGCATTGGTTAGATATCTTCACTTTTGACCTCACCTCTTAGTGCATTCTCTCTGAAATTATTAAGAGATTTTCATGCAGTTTTGCCGAACTCAAATCTGGGTAATGTTACCCTTTGTTAGTTATTATTCAATTCTATGTTTGACAATTTTGCTAGAATATTTGGATATTTTTTGAGTAGATCAAACAAAAATACATAAAACAACCAGTGCATATCTATTGGTAGATCATTTTTGTAATATTCATCGCTATTTTACCGCCTAAAGATGTTACCACTAGTGTAATACGATGGTGGTTTATCCCTCGGTTCTGGTGAGGCGCCACTTTTGTACTTCGAATTAGCCCCCTTGTACCTCGCTGGGCGGGCTGGCCTTTTGGGCCATGCCAATAGCCCAGACACCTTCTCTGCGCTGAATATATATTCTGCCCGAGTATTTTGTCTTCTTTCGTCTTCAGGGAGTCTCGGGACGCTACACTAGCGCTCCCTCAAACAGAGATCCACCAGAAGTGTACGGAGTGACACAAGGGGTATGTCAAGCTATCAGATTCGTGAGGGAGGCTCTGGCGGTGGGGGGGGGGGGAATGCGGGTTTATTGAATTCGACTGCTTTTTTTGTGAAATCTAATGCAGTGAACGGTGGATAGGCAGGTCATGGTGATACCGGATGGACGTGCCACGACCACTCCTGTTAGTTGTGGCAAGCCATACTAATGAGGAGTATTTGGTAGTCACTTACCGAGGGGCATGGCCACAGTCGCAAGGACGCACTGTCGAGCGGAAGTTCAGCCCTGCTCAGGTTGAAGAGCGGGAGTAATTATGCAGAGTGGAAAACATCAAATCGCAACAGAACTTTTCAAAAGTGGGCGAGCAAATTAGCACCAAATAATTGTCGCACAGTCTAACAATTTAATGGGTATTTTGACTGAAAAACTTATTTTTTTTACGATGACTTCCTGTTTACTTACTAGTGAAAATTTTTGAGTTTAATGCATTTTAAGTTAGGGAATAAACACGATGCACAGTTGCATGCTTAGCTACATACCTAACCCTCTATTAATTGTGCATCCACCCATTCCGTAACAATTAATCACTTATCCACATCAATTTCACCCATCCTCTATTTTACCAATTCCAACCAACCCATTTCATCTATGTTGTATCCATTTCCTATCCATCCGTCCAACCAACCACTCATCCATCCCAGCCTCACCAAAGCTTTCATTTCCCTTTCACATGTATACATGTAAATTTTTTACTAGTCTAAATTTCCATCCAACTAGTCGTTCCTCCATTCAGCCCGGGTCAAACTAATCACCTAATACTTCTATCTAGATAAATCTGAACCTGAACAGGCATTCGTCAAGCAGGCTTCAATGTCGTTAACCATTTGGGCAAGCATCTTTTCTTCCTTTGTGCCAAGTGTATATCCTCAGTAGGAAGAAAGTTGTACAATTGTTCACAAGTGTATGGCAGAAAGTGGGGACCTGTGGAATTTCAACTTTAATAAAGGCACTTAGTAGTATGAACAACTAAACATGTGTTAGACTTCCAACAAAGTAGATTCTAACCTCTCTTATCGACATCAAGACATATCTCTTTGTGCGTTTGCACTTCATAAGCGAATGAAAAGGACAAGATTGTAGACAAATTAATAGAGAAATTGTGAGAGAGGCCAGGAGAGCCAGAGAAGGAGAGAGATAGCGAATGAATTGTTTATGGGGTACCTTTCACAACTTCCGGATATTTATTAAGTCGGTCTAAATGACCCTCACTCGCTCTCAATAAATCGGCTTCCTGTGCACTGCCGGATTCTTGCGTGAACTTTTGCTCCGTATTTAGACGTTGTAGTTACTTAAACACGACTTATTACAATGGGCAATGAGGAGGTTTCGGGGGCTACAAAGGGGCAATTTTGTAACCAAGCGCACAGTGAGGAAAGGCGACTTCATTGACCAATGGTGTAGATGACGAGTAAAGACTCATGCAGTTATTCCGTTTACATCAATGAGGTCGCTTCTTGTTGGTTGTAGGGACGCTAAAAAGGTTTTTTAGGGTCTCTGTGTTCCAATCTATCGATGTGGTAGCCTTTATTGCGTGCCGAGCCTAGTAGAAAAACCTGACTGAGCTAGCCGGGGTAGGTCTGATTCCAAAGGCGCGGAAGCTTATGGTGACACTTGGAGAAGGTCGCGGTGTCGGATAGCTGGGTTTATTTTGAGCAATCATGCACACAAATCACTTCATCTCATCTACGCTGATACAACTGCTTCGAACATTTTTAGATTTTTGTAGGCACATACACAGGCAGACAGAGAGGGTTGAGATGATGAAAGGCTTTTTTTTAGAATGAACAATTCAACTGTGTGGTGCACCACTAAAGGCCAAGCTGCTGCCACTGAGGTCTTAAAGCATCTTTTGGCTGGAAATTTATTGTAAAAGGGATCCAAATCACTTTTTAGAATGCGAGATGGATGTGACTTCACGCTGTCTTCTGTGTTTCCTTCCCCTCTCCCCCTTTCCTCCTTCCTTAGAGACATAAGAAAGGTGGTAAATGAAGCTAGGACTACCCGCTTCTTGGTTGTAAATCTCTGGAAAAACTTACCTTAGCAAACGTACTGTGTCTAGAAGCCCCATATTATGAACTACCACAAGGGTTTATTTAACTACAAAAAACATTTTAGAGGGATGACTGTGAAGTTCGAAATAAGGTGAATGGGACTGTGATATTTTAATAAACCAGCTAGTCTATCTGTTAATTTTTAGGACAATCCTCACCATTATGGGCACATTTAATCGAAACATTTATGCTAATTTCTTTGTTAAATAATAATTTTGGAGCATTTTTTGGTTGCTTGTTTCCACCTAACTTAATGGGTCACAGATAAATGTTTTAGTTACCATTTACTAGGATACTGAAACATTTGTGTTAAAATACAGACACCATATGAATTTTTTAGTGATTGGATGGCAAATTAGTACAAGATGTCAGACCATTTAATGCTGGAAAAGGGTTCTGTCACTGCGTTTCCGCACATTCCAGAGTTAAACTTGGTGAGGCCAAACCCAGGGTGTTAAAATGGTCCCCAATGTCGGCAACACAGACAGCTGTTTTGAGTTTAAGATAGTGGACGACAAAACTGTCCCGTCTGAGCTTGTGCTATGTGGCGTGATGTACTGCAACGTCGCGCAATAAAAGCACTTTCTTTAGGCCGAATTGCCCCACCGTCTCTGAAGTAGAATACGGAGAAGAGACGAGTTTTCTTGAACAAGGGTATCATCAGTCGTGCGCCTTAGTATTGCGGGCTTGAATTGATGTGTGACTTAAAGATGTGGACTTGTGAGTGGATCATTTGGAAATGACTAATGATTGCACGTTTTTTTACTGATTGAATGAAAGTTAAAATGTAGGGGCCATTCCGCACGGCAAATCTGTCAGCCAGCCGGCCGGCCAATCAGACCATCCATCAGCCCGTCAATCATCACACAGTCAACAATGTAAAGCGACTTAAAATAATATGAAAGAAATTAAGAACTAATAATTCAGACCTTTTTACGCCTTCTGTCTTGTATGACACTAGCGGCTACTGCACATGCGTCAAAACCATTTGCTTCGCTCCCACTACCCTTCCTCCCACTTTATATAAGCTCAAACCAGCCGTTTTGTCGATCAAGCCAGTCATTAGTAAGGCGTGTGCTTCACTCCTTAATCTTTAGATAGCTTTAACAATGGCTGATGCTTGTCTCTTTATGATCAGAAATTGTCTTCCACAGCAACCCGCATCCCGCCTTGATTCTTCAGTCACTCCTTAACAGAAAGACCTGCGCAGTTTTTCGCCTATTTTGTTAAGTCACTGTCATCGTGAAGCATTCCCCCACCTCACACCACACCCTCCACAAATGTAGCTGCATGGAAGGCGGTTGCACCATTTGTGCAGCTGTGGCACCTAGTTGACCTGGGTTCTTCAAGCAGACCAGGTGGAATCACATTCATCAAGTCCATCCAAATGACATTCCATGGCGCCAAAGTTCAAAATGTCAAAAAACAGCAGAAGCCAAAGTGTAGTCTACCTCATCAGCAGACTGGCAAATGTTGGGGCATTTTGATAATCTCTTGCATTTTATAAGTGCCTACAAGTTAATAATGAACTGGACACGGATTTTCTGGTCATGAGAGAGATATTTTAAACCCTGACCGCCAATGATGGCCTTAAGGTGAATGCACCGCAAGCCATAAGTCCACTTTCTCTCTAGGATGGCTGAATGATTTGCTATCTCGTATGCCTCATTAATGAGTTCAAAAATATTCTTAAATACAACAAGGGTGCGAAAGGGAGGATTGGTGAAAACATTCCATTGAACGTCATGTGATTCCTCAGAGAAGGCGTTAGCAGGGTTCTCTACACTACCCACGGTCTGACATTTGTGTAGGCATTCTTCAAGGGCATAACCTATCATACACGAGGATATTCAAGCCATTAATTTCACCGCCTCTTTTTATGGTTGCGCAAAAACTGTCAGATCCGAATTCGGAGGGCTGCAAAGGCTGCTTTCATTGGCTGGCTTGCAATTTCCAGGGCGAAACCATCTGCACGATGTATTACTTTTTCCCCTCTTTGAGGGTAAGTGAGCGTAGAGTAGGAAGCCATGCTCTTCAGAAGTGAAACAGGCCCCCCTTTTTGTCAAACCCACCACACCTTGCTTTTGACGGCTTAACCGAAAGACAAAGATGCAGTATGAAATGTTACAGTTGAGGCGGAGGAGGGGGCAGGTGGTTGAGAGGGTGGGAGAAGAGGGGGTGAGAAGGTGCAAAAGACTGCTGAATAAATTTCGGCATTAATGAAATGGATCTGAGAGTAAAAATTTTTCCTCCTACTTTTCTCTTTATTCCGCATTAAAAGGGGAGAAGAAAGAGTCCATATGGAAGCGCCTATTTCAGCGAGCAAGTTAAGCATCCACCTTGATCGCTTTTTTCCTTCTTAAAAAAATTGCTTTTGTTTTTGACTCAGTCGTAGTTGCCATGGCAATTGACAAGTGGAGGTTCTTGTGGAAAAAACGTTTAAAAATCAACCTGCTTTATTCAACCTCAGCTTGTAGGGCCTCCTTTTTGACAGACGCCTTGTCAACAGGGAGTAATATAAGGAAAAACAGAACAGATAAATTAAAGATAAAGTTGCTTTAATTGACAGGAAAGAAGGTAACTCACTTACTGCTTAAAATCAGCATAACTTCCGGTGCCTCAGTTTGACTTAAATTTTCTCTTTTTTCCCCTATTAAAGGTTTACATTTACTGAGCTACTAATTGGTGCTGTAAATGCGTAAAGGTAGCCTAAGTGGATATTGGGGAAATCTCTCAATCTCCCTCTTTCCTCCGCTCTCGGGTGAACGGTTTTATGTACAATGCGTTCTCAGACGGCCCAATGATTTGTGCTGAGCGCTTGGATGACTTGTGCATAGGAATTTAAGCAAATCCTCCACAGTTAAAGAAATTGAGTAAAAGGATGCCCAATAAAGTTAAATGCTGTCTCTTTAAATACTACGTTTTAAGGCGCAGACTCCTCAATCACTTCGATTTGATTTGATTTGATTATTAGCATCTTGGTATTCCATCTATGGCTTTAGGCGTGCAGCCCTTTCATACGCAATATTGCGTAGTTGGAAATGACTTAGGGAGGAAACGTGAGGTGGGAGCTGAAGATATTGTATCGTGAACACTGGAGCAAATTGCTAAATGATTAAGGAGTCAAACTGCTTAAGCGCATCAACCGCGAAGTGAAGCTCTATCCTGCATTATTGGTGTGGAGCCTTGAATTGTCTACCTGGCTCTTCACACAAGCTGAGAAGGCACTGATCACCTCCATTTTAGCAGAAGTACTAAAGGTGCTTAAATGGAGAGGTGGGATTTTTAGCCCACACTTCCACCTCTCATATGTCTGCGCATTCATACGATTGTTTAAGGTTAATGGCAAGAAAAGGTGATGATCTTTAGGGGGATGAGGCGAAGGAAGGTAATGTTCTTCCCACCGCACTCCCTCTTATCCAATAAAAAAGAAAATTTTCTTACGCTATGAGATCTGCCAATACCTCACAGTAAAAGCACCTTCATTATACCGAGTAGCCTTAATCACTCCGGAGTATGACGTTCCACTTTACCATGTGGCATTTATGCTCAGATGTACAGAGACTTCCTTAAATGTTGTTCGGCCTTCAGGATGAGACAACATTTCCATCTTGACTGACTGAATGGCACTTGTTTCATCCAGTAAGACTGATCATCCACCTAGCTAAACATGACACAAGGAATGTCCTTCTGTCCGATTCGGAGTTCAGCCCTCGTTTATCGTCTAGGTGAGGGAGGAAAAGCTGCTCTCGCTTGCAAATTACAGGCAGTTCCTCAGTTCATTCGGCAGACTGTCCTTCCTAATGTCCTCTTTTACTTCAGGTCTGACACTTTAATATTAAAAAGTCAACTGGAACGAGAGCTAGAACGAGTTTAGATTAGAATCCGATGCCCTAAAATACATCGCAGCTCTGGAAGATAAGATGTGAATGGAGATTCAAAAAGCTGGAAGAGAAGGGAAAGTAAATCACACCTGATGATGTGACTTTTTCAGTCAGGATCACCACGGCTGCCAAATCCACTAGATATCATCCAAAGTTAAGTTAACTAACTTCTTGTTATCCTTCTTGACAAAGTGCCTTTGGAAAGTTCCTCAGTCGGTATTCCTTGACAGGAATTTCGAATTGTCTTGTACTGTTTTGGAACAGACAATCCCATCCAATTTTGTGTAAAGCTACCAATTCACTACCTCTCCAAATTCGATGATATTCCCTCAGTGAAGGTGTACTGACTCTGCAACGGTGTAAAAATGGCCCTAACATCATCAAACCTTAGTCTGACGACATGATACATCTGTTGCACTAAGACCTCAGTAAACACTGCGGTGGCAGCAGTATCAATGATGTGGCAACACATGTCAATCCAATTCCATGTTCCGTGTCTCCAGGAGTCTTCGGAGACACTTCGCACCTGCAGTGAGGTGACAGGGAGGATGACAAAAGGGTGTATTAGTCGTACTCTCGGAAGGGTAATGTCTCCTTAGTATAGTCGTGAGGTACTTGAGTCGAGCAATGTCAAAATCATGGATATGAATAATGTGGCTTCTATCCAACTCGAAAACGTTGACCTCTTAGTGAGTGTAAAAACTTCTGTGGCAGTTCAAAAGAAAGTGGCGCCACCGCGGTATTGACCACTATCCAGGTCCATGATGAACCTGACGTATGTCATCGACACGACATACTCTATCAGTTGCCTCTCCTGGAAACTGCCACAAAATTATGAGGGTATAAGACAACAAACTTTGTGGTGGAACAACAGGAAGTGGGTAAGGGTGTCTGGGTCTCCATCCAGTCACTTTGCACTTCAATCTACTCGAAGGTTCCGAAATAATAGCCATCACCTCCACGTAGGCCCTGTCAGTGGTTTTTACAAAGTGCCTTTAGGCTCGGATTATGTTTCTGAGCTCACCACTGAGAGAGAGAGATGTTGACAGATGACTGGGTTCGTGTAAGTGCGAGGAGCTCTAAAATGGTCATGGATATCACCTTTGGGTCAACGCTGTCAATCCCCACTGTCGCAGTAATCCCAATGAATCCTATAGGCAGGTTAAAGCTAGAGGGCTCGAGGTAAGCGTTTTAGAAGACTTGACAATGGTGGCCCAAGTGATTCCTGCAAGAATTACCAATCACCAATTTTGACAAATTTCGATAGGGCCTGTGGCTCACAGAGGGTCAGCTTACGGCCAACATTGACGATGCCTTTGGTATTCCCGAAGAACCTGAAGCCGGCTAAGTTAAACGTGTACTTCAAAGCAGAGAAGTCAGAAAAATGCATCTACGTGGGTAACTTTGCATCTACGCCTTTGAAAGCTGACCGTGTTACCACTGCCCTTGAATTCGCCTCTTGTAATTAAAATCTTGATAAAATAGCCAACATGATAAATAAATAATTTTAATGATTTCTGGCCGGTCTGCTGTACATTCAATGATATTCAGACCAGGTGGTGCAAAGTGGTCAGAAACGAGAAGCATCTTTTATGCAAGGTAGGCTACAATGCTGTAGTTTAGACACGCCTCATCTGTGATCGCAGAAAAGGCAACTGTCGGTTCAGCTGTTGCCCTCCCCTAACCCATTTTCTCATTTAAATAAGTACTTTGTTTCGACTGCCTCCTTGAAAGAGTGCGTATTTTATCCTTCTACTCCGGGCAAATGGGATAAGCCCGACTCCCCACTTGACTGTTCTCTCCACCCCAATCCGAGTCCTGCCCTCACCGAAAGTCTAACCCAGTGGAAATAAGCTGTAAATGCTGAAATGCTAAAAAGAATCTTCTGGTAATGAAATGACGTTTTCCCTAGAGGAGTGAATCTCATTTATCCGGTGATACACCCAGCCTTCGATGTTATTCCATCTTACCTTCATCACTCCGGAAATGCGTTCGAATTGAGAAAAAAAAGGGGAAAAGAAAGGAAGATCTTTAGTAAAATACACAGATAAATTCCTACTCCCACTGAACACGATGGAGTGGGTGGCAGATTTAGGGCACCAAAATCAGTGGAATGTCATATTTGTTATTTGACCAGTTGCGTCGAAACTCACTTGATATTACCACCGAGCGAAATACCTGAAGCAGAATGAGGAGGGAGTTTTTACAGGTGAAGAAGATGTTTGAGTAACTGCGCACATTGAAGTGCAACACCAAGGTGAGTCGTAATGCCAGAAAAGGTACATCTTGCAGAATGAGAGACATAAAGAGAGCCCACAATTCGGTACCGAACCAAAGTTGTTCACAGCCGGATACACGATTGTCTGGAGAATCGCGAGAACAGCAATCACAGAAGTGGCGTCTTCGAGGAAGGAACACATGAATTTCTGGCTGGATTTGAATCGGCTCCGTAGGTTCGAGGTCATTAAAAGTGGTGCTTCTTGAGACAGATCGAAGAAGCGAGGGCACCTGTTGGGTTGTATTTTTCGGACACTCCAAAGTGGCCGTTTTATTAAAACAAAATTGAAGGAGGGAGGCCTGCCATAAGCAGAGGATACAGATATTAAGGGAGGTATTTGTTCTTACGGCCTCTTCGTTGAAGGCCTCAAAGAGCTCCAGTATATCCGCTGCATTGCCAATGTTGATGAGAAGCAATTGAGACAGTTGATCGCGACTTATCCCGAAGCGGGGGAGCAGCCACCGTCCAACAATGACCGAGAGAAGTAGAAGTTGTTCCATTATACGGACCCGCATTTTTAAGGGGTAATGTTGCAAGGTCACTGCCTAGTAGAGGCAAATCAAGTCTATTTTTAACAGTAGAGATGGAGTTGAATATGCACATAAAAACGGTCTTTCTCCTTCTCATTAACCTCCTTATTTCTCCAAGATGGTAGAGGCGATTTGATTAAGAGAAAGTGATTTTATCACGCGACGTTCTAATATCTCGTACCTCACCACATCGTACAAGCTCAGATGTGACAGTTTTGTTAACCCTGTATCTTAAAATCAAAATAGCTGTCGGCATCGCCGACATTGGGGACGATTTTTACACCCTGGATGTTAAGGCTTGGGTGTGAATCCACAAAATTTACCTTGTGAAACTTTAAATCCCAACTTGAAAGTCAAATTTTGGCTCAGTCAAAAGAGATTGGTAAGGAGAGAATTTGATGCTTAAAGGCAAATTAAGTTGTGTTTATTTAAACTCATTAATTTTAGGGGCTCTCATAATGATGTGAGTAGAGAGATGGGAAGGCAGTTGGAATCCTTCAAAGTCAGATTTTTGCTTTTTCCCAGTAGATTGGAAAAGATTTTATCTCTTGTTGGTAAATTAGGCAGTATGAAATTGGTGCCTGCCCTTGTACTTACCTGAATCAAGCTTTCTTCTTGCGTGGGAAAACGAATTGCGCCCTAAAAGAAAAAGGGGAGAGTGTTCATTCATTAATTAAAAGGGGAAATAGCTCAAAGCCCTGAAAGCAAAAATGAGAGAAAGAAGACACGCTCTCCTGAAAGCGGGCTAAAGAGTGTCCTGAAGAAAGAGCCCCGAAAGCCTCAATCATTGACACGCCGTCGCAACTCTACCAGCTGTGAAGTCCACGGGGCTATGAAACATCTGGTCTCAAGGCGCAAATCTACTCTGTTTTCTATCAAAGAAATTCAAAGACTCGCAATTTTTTGATCACTTTTCCAGGTAGATCTGCTCGGAAGAACCTCCTCACCCCAGTGAAGCAGGAGCCGCGTCTTCAAATTCTGTCCCTTTAGATCGGATACAGTAAGGTGGGTTCTTCCTCAGCCTCCTCCAAGAGGATTACTGACATGCACAGAGGAGTGTTATAACCCCTCACCAATCGCCATAACCTATGGCTATATGTGCGAACAAACTCTACTCTAATGGGCTCTCAAAGGGGTAGGTCATGGATAAGAACTTCAGAGTGGCCGCCTTTATTAATTGACGTGGGTGGGTAAGGACAGGGGTGTGAAGTGCATATACGAGTTAGATGGCTGATTGATGGAGACTAAGGGGAAATGGGTCTAAATCAATGGGTCTTTTTGGCCATATGTAGTTGTAATCACAGTTTAACCTTGACCTTAAGTGCGTGCTGGCCAATCACGACGAACGGGGCTAGAACAGTTTCGAGAACGCAGGTGAAAGTAGCCAAGACATCAGGATCTAGAAAGTTAGGGAACGTTTTTCTGGAGTTGCTGACATCTCCAGCGAAGCGATATGAAAAATTCGTTCCTTTTTAAGGGTTTTCTTGACTACATCTGTTGACCGATTTTACTTTTATGGGATGTATTGTGTCTAAACGCATCGGATGTCATTGTCTAATGCCTGAAAGGGATGAAAAATGAGGAGGAAAACAATGCAGTGCCTAAGATTATTACGTGTTGGCGTGTGTGTAAGTGAACTCACTCCCTGCTGCAGAGTTGTCAACTGTAGTTATCAGGACGTTTTTATTTGTCAACGAGTGTGAGGAAATATAGGAAGTAGGGGGTTTATTTACGCGGACTACTGGGTGGCTGTTGAAGGCACACAAAAAATAGTTTTTCTTGAGTGGTCTTAGCGCTATATTGACTGAACTGGGAGAAATAAACTAAAGGACGAGCTTGGAAACCTCCTGGAATGCCTAGGAGTTTGTCACAAAAGTCGAGGTGACAGACATCGCCAGGAAAGTTGCAGCGTAAAAGGGGATTCGACCTTTTCATGAGTCGCATTTTATCCCTCTCAAGGGGTCACAATAGGCCCCTTATAGCCTTGGAATCCTCAAATTAACAAACCAAAACCAAATTTGACACTCGACTGTCTAGTCATTCCACATTACTCGACCAATTCTGGGCCAAAAGCGTGACGCAATTCGCTACCTCTAGCACTCCAGGTCCTCCTCTAAGCAAAGTTAGTAATAATGGGAGGACATACCACTTACTAGTAGGCTGGTGGTCTGACCCATGGGCCATACCCCTGTCTGAAACCATGACCTGTGGAGAATTAACTGGCCGCATGCTGTTAAGCATACGTTTGAACTATTTGAGAAGTCACCACAGCTATCAAAATCGCCTTCGGGCATGTTGTTTGTGTTCTTTTCCCATTACTTTATGACAGTTAGTTAGGTTAATCAATCGGTCAATCAATCGCCCCCAGTCGTACCCGCAAGGTGGCGAATACATTCGAGGTTCCCAATTAAGCGGCACGTGTTGGGTAGAAAAAAAGACATTCCTATATCACTAATTTCGACTAGTGTAAAAAATGAGCGACGTGAGTATTTTTCAAAAATTTCGAGGAATCACGCGCACTGTTTCCCCTTGTTTCCTCATTCCCATTCTCCAATTTGTTCACCAATAAGGACAGAAAAGTCACATTTAAAAGCTATTTACCAGTAAAATTGAAATGATTCAATTGTCAGGAGTGGCTACTTAATATCCGAATTAAGTAGCACGCGATTGTGTACTTATTTTTCGTGCTATTTGTCCATTTCATCGTCGAAAAGTTGAAATACAATCGCCCACCTAGGATCTCGATGCTTTGAAAAGACACAAAATCTGAGTGATCAAGCAGTATTCAATCAGATTGTGGAAATAACTCACTTCTTCAGAGGAAGACCGTTTGACACGAAAAGTCGCATGAGTGATGGAGGTATCTAATGTGAGGTTCTTGCGCATTGCAGCTGCATTCAGATAATTCTCTACAGTATCACCCATTATTACAAGGTTTTCCTAAAAGAAAGGAAAATATTTTTCAGAACACCACACTACTGATATCATTGTCAGGGTATCGTTGCTCAAACGCCTCGTTAAACGGCAGCTTATTGATATTTGACATGGATTTTTTTTTGTTTATTAAGTACAAATTTTCATGTCGCCTCTTCCAATTAACTTAAGGCTATAATTTGTAAATTGAAAATAATTGGGGAAATTTTTTGAGAAGAGATAAAAACTTTCATTCTAAACGTAGCTCTTAGGTAGGCATAGGTCGGGTCCCGTCCCGAGTATTCCATAAAAATTTTTAAAAGTTACAGTAGTTTGGCAAAAGATGCACTACTAACATACAGAAGGGCTGACAGGGTACAAATATGACTCGAAAGCCATGCCGTCAAGTGCTGGCAGTCTGCTGTGACTTAAGTGTCCGGCTAATCAAACGCCGAGTTAGACAAACTTTACGAGAACATCCAAATAATTTGTCATAAAGAAAAGAAGGGAACTGACTTCTAAAGATCTTTGGACTTCTGACATGGTAACTGGTAAAACTACTGCTTATCTACCCGTATTAATGCCAGAGACGAAGTTACAAGGAGAGCCGACCAAACTCCGTGGGATCTTAAGGATAAGCTGCATCCCCTAGAAAAGAAGGCCCTGTCAATTTCATATTGGTTGGTTGTTTGCTTGGCGAAGCAAGACAAAAAACGAAAGGTGCTCACAAGAGTTATCGCAATATATGGAATCATACACAAAAGCAGGCAAGTTGGGAGTCACTTATTCCCCAATTTTTTAAATCATTAATAAAAGAAAGAGAGTACAAAAATGACGAAATAATGCTCTAGAGGGGAAATTGCATACAGCTGTGAGTAAAAAGGCTAACAGCATCGCGTTATAGCAGAAGAACACTCTAGAACGTTTATGGGTGGGCAACTGGATGATATTTGGTTTTGTAATCAGGGGACGATTTAAAAGAACATGTAATTATTATTTGGTGAAATCTTTTCACTGTCCAATCAGAATGTATGGATAGATGAATTAATTGTTCATCGGTTGAAGGAACTTGGTGGATTTAAATTCCATCCGATCTGCATGAAGGACCCAGTTCAACTCGGTGCCGCATCTGCACAAGGTGTGCAGCCTCCCTCCGTATATCTGCATCTGTGGAAGGTGTGGTGTAAGGTAGCGGAATATGCCGCCATTGCAGTGAACAAACAAATGGGACTGCGTGCTTCGTTTTGGTGATGAGTGACTCAGGGATCAGTAACTGATGAGTGATGTTAAGGAAGACTTTCCATCCCTGATCATAAATAGACAAGTAGGAGCCATTCCTGATGTGATGACTCGGGATCACATGCCTCAGTAATGAATAATTTGGCCAAAGAAAGGGCTGTTTTGTATCTACACCAAGTGGAAAAGGAAGAAAGGGAA